AGATAGGACCCAAAAGGCCAAGCATATATAACCCTAACCCTCTAGATTAGCCCCTAACTCCTATTCTACTCTTTTCATTATGCCTTCGTTCAGTCATTTAAAAACCAAAAGCTCACCAAACACCAAGCCTAAAGAAAACCCGACCGTCATCTTCTTTGGATCTAATACTTAACACTTGTTGAGTGAGTTTTTTTCTGACGTATTTTTTGGTTCCCATTCAACCATTCAGAAACAAACTATTGGGTGTGTTATTTGTTTTGAGTCCCTCGCTGCCACTTGAAACCTGTGCTTTCTGGATGATGACAACTTTTCTAAAAAGAAAGCTTTTTGGTCAGCACTTGCATGCCCGTATTAAACAGAATGTGAACAGTTTTGGAGAAAATAACAAATGTCATTGTTTCTGTTTTAAGATTTGCTAAGTGAAATCTGTGACTGGAAACAAGAAAAAGCACATTTAAGCTCTTGCAAGCTGTCACTTTTGGGAAAACTCCTGCCATGTCACCAACCACAACAGATTTTTGTTGAAAAAAAAAAAAAGCTTTTTCTTCCGTACGCAAAGTTAAACCATAAATGAAATAGTAAGTAACATGTAAGCACTATATACTAACTAAAGGTAATTAAATAGATTTGAATAAATTAACATTTAGTTAAGTTTGTTTTCTGCATAACTCATTTTGATGCATTGAATACCCAGCTATAAGCTTACTTCTAAGCTTCTAAATTGGTACATTGTCCTTAACACAAGTAACCCCACAAGAACTTCTCTAAAAATGGTACAAAGAAATTTTATTGAATCAGGAACTGGGTTAAGTTAGCAGACAGTCTCTCTTGTTCTTACCCTCCTTGCCAGCCATTCTCTCCAGTTTAGCAACCAGCCTTGACTCGCCTGGTTTGTTGCCCGGAAAGAACCTCATTTAATGGGGCCCAGAAAAACCTGTAAAATAGTAACCCCGCACCCGTTACACGCCTAGTGGAAACGCAACCAAAACGGCCCCGCACGGCTCAGCACGCTTAAAAGCGAGCTCCGCGCTGTAGTGAATGCGCATTAGAGCCATTAACTGCCATGACAATGAAAAGGAGTTTCTTTCTGTCCTGGCTTTGTTCCCTAATGAAGAATTTGTCGAATAGCCCTTACTACACCGTTGTTTAAAAGCTAGCTTTTTTACATACAAGGTTGTTTGCACACAAAAATACAGAAAAGGAGATTGCCAACACCTCATGTTAATCATTCCGGCCATTCTTGATTCAGATCAAAATGCGGTCGAAGGGAGCCAAATGGCTGTGCATCATTCAGGACACACCAGCTCAAAGGAACGTCAACGAAAGGCTGACCTGAATCTGCCGGCGTCCACCCCCCCCCCTCCCAAACCTAATGAAGATTGCCCACAAAGCGGGATATGTTGAAAGCCACTTGACTTGCCTGAAATACGCAGGAAAACATGGTTAGGAAATTCTTATCTAGAGGAGCCCTCTGTCTGCCAACATAACGTGAAAGCTTTTTTTATAACAGTAATATGGGACTAACAACTGGGCTGGAGGGCAAAGTCCGCTGTGATTACACTCAGAGGAAAAAAGGTGGCGTCTGGTAAAAAGTGCACTTGTGGGCAGAGAAAAAATAGGGGAACTGGACCATTATTGTTTTCAGGAAGCCAGGCAAACAAAACTTTAAGTAGTTGACGGATGTAAGTTAGCATTTGTTTGGTAATTATGCACAAAATTGTAAAAGGCGAGCCACGAATCGCTTTCATAGCTTCTGCAGACGCAAACTGGTTTTGGTTGCAGCAGGTGGAGCCTCAAAAAATGATAATGCTCCTGTCTCTGCTTACAGTCACGTATCTTCCACTATAAAACGTAATATTAGGACTCATACACCTAGATGGCATGGGAAGGGTCCGGTCACTCATCAATGAACTCGTGAAGCTGATAGAAAACCGACAGCGGTTTATAGTTTTTAAATAATCATGCTACAAAAATGATTTTTGCCATACTAATTGTCTCTCTGATACAAGAATAAAGTCAATAAGAATGGCATTTCTAAAAGTGAGTACTTATATGCAGGAACCATTCTAGGTGTCCCCCCCGGTGTTAAACTATGAGTTTCCCCGTTTACATACTACTCCCTTCTTCAATAACACAGCCAAATCCTGCTGCGAGCCAGGCAAAGCCCAGGTGCGTGTTTATCTATGAGTAGGGCCAAGGATGACTCCTGGTATGCCTTCCCACTTGCAACACTTTGCCTCTCTTAGCTGCCGGAGAAGACAGAAGTATTGCCAAAAAGCATTCTCTCATGTTGGCTTCAGGCTACTTTCTCCTTAAGGGCCGCTCCAATTAATCATTTAAATGCGAATACATATCGGCTGCCAACGATACGAAAAACAACGTAATCGAAATAAAACGATATTTTTTTATATAACTTTTTTTTTTTTTTTTTTTTGTTGAGGTCTTTCAGTTGAAGTTATAACTTAAAGTTCAGGTAAGTCAATGAATAATCGCCAATTTAACTAATCGCATTTACAATATTGACTCCAAATAACGAGATTATGATTTCTGCCATAACGAGCACCCCTACTCCCTTGTACGACACCGATACAGGGAGTCTGCTGAAATGAGTTCGGGAAGAACTCCTTAGTCGTGAGTCAATGGAGTGGCAGACTAGCTTTGCATGTTCTCAGCTGTTCTGATTCTCCAGGGATTGTTTAATTTACATTTAAGTTTGTACTCTCCCCTCTAGGCAACCCTGGAATCAAAGCAAGTGAGATGTCCCTCCAGATTTGGTTTGAGCCTGCAAATAAGAGGAATTCCTCCAGCTTCACGACAAAAGATGGAGAAGCCCCGATGCATTCGGTGAGGGAACAGCTATCACAAGAGTGTTCCCAGAATGTGGATGGTATATTTCCAATTAAAAAAGTCTCGCTCTAACGTTTTACTGCACAGAAGAGTCAGGACTGCAGATACAAAAGCGGGCCGATACAGTTCCAGGATCGATTCTCGGGCCTTACCGAGAGACAAGCAACGCACGGCTGCAAGCGGAGACACAAGCAGCCCTCTTATCCTACTCCTCCCATCCTGCACAATCAGACCAGGTGAGAAAAAAAAAAAAACCAGTCGCCTCTTTCAATATTGACCTCGCTCTCTTCATACAAACCTGCTAACCTCTTACTACTCATCTCCCCTCCCCTCCCTGCTGCGTAGGTTACGTGGCCTCGTCACCAAAGCATACCTGCATTTGACAGCTCTAAAACCCTGTACAATGGACCCCCGAGTTCATGAACTCTCTATCAAGTAAGGACTAACTTCTAGGATCTTTGCGGCTTCCACACCAGCGCTTTCCTGGTTCACTCCGGTTTCCCCTTTTCCTGCTCCCGCTCTGTCCACACCACACAGAGGCGGGTGGTACTCGCGTCATTTGCACATCGTGCGTCAGACGCGCCTAGCTTCATAAAGCCACCCGCGCGGAATTCTCACACATCCCTCTTATTTTTTCCAATTTGCCAATCTGTCAATTTTGCACTGTCATAACCAGCGTTGCCATCCCGCATCAAATTTTGCAAAGAATACTTGCACCGCGCGCAATCCCTCCCAGTTCACTCTGTACCTCCTTCGGAAGACCAGAGTGCCAACTAGGGTAGCTGGTCTCTCCAGGACCACTGCGCTTGTTAAGTGAGGTTTTCCATCGCTGGTGGGACAACTCTGGAAAAACGCAGGCATTTCCCTTGGTGTCAGGAGGGTTGACTCCCGCCCAGTGCCTGCGCCTAGAGACGTAAGCGGCGCCGCCTCTTAGCTCCGGAATCTTGCTTCTAGAACGAAAACATTTTGGAGCTGGAAACGAACCGGATTCCGGAGCTAAGAGGCGGCGCCGCTGCGGTGTGAAGAGGAAAAAACGGTACTTTTCAGGCTCTAGCTCCGAGCCGGCCCTGAAAACGCGTTGGTGTGAAAGAGGCAACAGAGAATCAGCACTTTTGAAACAGGGCTGAAACAGAGGGGATTATGGGATGCTGTAATGCATGATCTGTTTGGTATTTCGAGCCAAACTCTTCAGAGACCTATAATATATTGATGAAAAACAGTATAATAGGGGACCTTTAAAGCTTTTTTCAGAGACACTTGGTTACTTTCAGAAAGTAACCAAGTGTCTCTGAAAAAAGCTTTAAAGGTCCCCTATTATACTGTTTTTCATCAATATATTATAGGTCTCTGAAGAGTTTGGCTCGAAATANACACACACCTACACACTGTACCACGCACACACCTACACACTGTACCACACACACCTACACACACTGTACCACACACACCTACAGCTCCGAAAGCATAATCAGGCTACAGCCGTTGTGTATTTTATTATGTGAAGCACTAAATGGTCGTAGAAAGATATCGACTCTTTGTTTGTAGATATCTACTAAACTAAAGCAAATAGGCCTAAATAGAGTACGCCTGTTATACTGAGTGATATATATTTTACACACTGCTCTGCTTTTTGCACGGACCTCACAGCTGTTCTCACTGTAAACATCGTGTCGCGATGAAAGCAGTTACTAAAATAATATCCAGGGGATGCATGCAGAGCTGTCATTGGCTGAGATAAGTCCGGCCGTGTGTCGTGGAGGAACCATCAGTGTATCCTCGGTTATAGCTCCTCCAGAGAGCCTCCTCGACACTCGATCCTCTGTCCTCGGTGTGCATTTAGAGAAATTAGATGTCCTTCAAAATGGCGCGCTGAAATTCATTTCCGGGTCACCACCGGAGGACCGAGGAGTCGAGAAGTCGAGGAGGGGAAATTTGAGTATTGAGAAGCCTCTTATGTGGGGGGGGGGGGGGGCTGTGAGAGAAACTCCCTCTGGAGGGAACACAGGGATTTATTCTTTGCAGACCATTTACAAGCACAAAAACCTACACACTAGAGGAAAGTGAAAACTCCCAAAACATACTAGGGCCTCTTTAAGCACGTTTTGATCATCATACTTTTGTTCTGTTATTGAGATAGTGTGGGATTACTTATTTTAATGAAGTAAAAGAACACCTATTTCCAAAACTGAGATGACAGCTCATTGCTCTTAGGACCCCTCCACTTGATGATGGATAAAACCTGAGGAAAGGGAAGAGATTATTATTATTCCTCCTGCTGTCTGAAGACAAATCACACCCTCCCTCTATTTATCCCTCCCTGCATACCTTGATCGTGTGTTTAAGTGCTTCCACCTCTTGGTAGTTGATGACATTCTTCAGGTCTGCACACTCAATCATGATCACCTGGAAAGAATCACAGAGGTGGAGGTACTTAAGAGGGGAGAACTAAGCTGCTCTTCAAAGTGTTGTGCAAAGTACTTCACAACTTCTCTAAACAATGCAATAGTTCCGACGTTATGGTTCTGCATGTCTCTTATTTTTGTACTTCCTGTTTCCTTCCCATGTCATACCTTGATCTCCCCGGTAACCAGCATGGAGTGGAGGCGTGTCTCTATCTGAAAGATGCTCCACCCTCTTTTGGCAACAAACTCTGGAGTCAAAACGATGATCAGACGTCTGCTTTGCTCCACGCTACGAGCCAAGTCCTCGATGTAGGCTGGGAGAGAGACACATGGAGACAAAGGGAAAACTAAATAGAGAGAAAGAAAGGGAAGTTTTAAGAATAAAGTGAAGATCAATACATCGTCTGTTTTCTAATGAACTTGTTTGGAATAAATGTTAAAGACAAGAAACAGTTCCAAAACAAAAGTAAATATTTTCCTTGTTGTTTTTCTATCTGATTTAAATACAAAACAGGATTGACAAAGTCAGCATTTTTTCTCATAATCATCATTTGACGGAATGGTGTTAGAAAATGTAAAAATATATGCCAACTTGCTTGACATTAGAAGATTGATATAAACCTTAAGCTGGAGTCAGAATAAGGTTAGCCTAACATAGCATAAAAGCTAAAGGGGCACAAAGCTAACGTGGTTTAGTTCAAATTGATAAAATACAACTACCAGCACCTCCTAAGCTGACTTAGTAGTGCTTTATTTGTAATTTGTTTAACATGTGTAATGTGAATGCAAATGTAAATGTGTTGTAATCAACAATTTGTGGTTTTAGAGAGAATTACGTGCTGTAACTATTTACAACCAACAGCTGGGTGCGGTGGACTGTACAGCTCCTGGAAGTATTATCACAGCAGAGGGAGTAAGTTATCAATGTTCTGATCTCACTTTAGGGGAAGAAGAAAAGAGGCATATGCTTTTATGGAACACAACATGTACTATCAAGTGCATAAGACATTACAAATATTTAACAGGTCCCAGGACCAATATTGAAAAAGCTTTTCTTAAAAAGAATAGCTCAACATTGTGAGAAACATTGCAATTAAGTATTGGGTAACCATTATAGGTGCTTAAAAGGTAATTTATTTTTCAGGAGAGCTAGTAGTTTTGAATTTTAATCACAACTGCACTTTGACCACCCACATGTCCCTATTTCTGTTTGACTTGATGTGTTACTTGATATGTTGAGCTATTTTTTTAGCTTTGCATATCTTTCCCAAAAATGCAAAGACAAACAATAAGATTTCAAGTTCTTAAATAAAGAAGCAGAGAACATTGAACATCAGTATGTATAGTATCGGATGTATTTTCGCTGGCGTCAGCCTTCCCATTTTTTGTTCAGGAAATGACTGGCAGGAGTTTACAGCAGTGACAGGAATGCTTGTGCAAGAGTTTTGTTAACAGCTCTTTAATGGGATTCAGAGTTGTGCTGACCACCATCAGATTTTACTTGTAACTTATGGAAGGAAATGTGAACTCAATGAGGTGAATACAGTGGTGCAGGAATGACTCCTGGAAAACCCCGGACATTAGTTAGCTTTTACCACTTTCGGTTCCCTTGTTTCAAAGTCAACATTTAGATGCCTGAAATAACGTCTGTTGAAACACAAGCTTAAGAGATTTTCACGTTTTGTACTAGGACATTAGATACGTCAGTAACCACCCAAATTGTGAATGTCCGAAGCTTCTTTGTGTCTGGAAAACAGAGCTTGCTAACAAGTGACTAAATGAGACTATACTAAAAATCATCCGTCCGAACAAAAGGTCCATTTAAAGCTTAGTGGTGGTGATGCACAACCATGGTACCATGATGTTGTTAGCTTATAGCCTAATGTTAGCTTTTTAAATGTATGCATCAAACATTTAAAGAGTGGTGTTTATATGTGGAGATTATTCTGCTGACCAAAACGTGGAAGTATCATAAACGTGTGTTTCCTACAAAGCTTATTTTCTGCAATATACTGAAATCCAATGAAACAGTCCCATTGTTTTCTGTCGAGAGAGCCTATGCGAAGATAACTGCCTGGTCATCCTACAAAATACGTCACCGCTGCACCACTCAATGGCTGGAACAGATAGCATATTTTCAGTTGGTTGAATTTCCCAAAATGAGAAGTTAAATCCACTAAATATATCGTTAGCATTATGGCAACCATTAGCCACATTCGTTTTTTTTATTATAAATCTCTTTATTAGTTTTCGCACAGATATCAAACAGGCATTTTCAAGACATTACATGTAAAATACTGTGTTTTACTAGTACAGTTCATTAGCCATCTTCTAATGTCTAAAAGCAAAAACAATAACTCAAATCTGAGCAACCTATTTCAGAGCTCCACAAATGCTTCTTTTAATCCTCACTGTAGTGCTGTTGCTTCATCCTGAGGTCTATTTAAACTCATCTTCCCTAACTGTTCTATTTACAATTATTTGGGAACGTACGCCGTTCCGATTATTTTTCAAATTTGTAGTTCCCGAAAGTGTCTAAAACTGAGTGATCTGTGAGAAACAAATCTCCTATCTCTGTATGTCTCTACTGCTACCATCTTTTCTCGTGCTAACTAAATTAATGACGGAGACTCTGCAACAACAGATTATGATTTCCCGCTCAATTTGAGGGGCACAAATAGTAAACTGCATCTGAAAATTCACTCAATTCTTTCTCTTCTCTGCTTTTCCATCCCTCTCTTCATCTTTCTCTGTCCTTTTCTCCCCCCCCCTTCTGTTCAGCCCTTCCCTACCTCTTCCCGCTCTCTATTTCTGAGGATTATACAAATCAATTAATTGTAAACACAAGCCAATGACCCTGTCCCCGCCTCTTTCTGCTCTCGTTGTTTAACTCTCGCACTCTTCGGAGGGCTAATGGAGTGGATAATTGAACGTGTTTTTTTTTTACCATGTTGCTCTGTCAATAGCTTTGGTAAGCATTGAAAAGGAAGCTCTTGTGTGTGGATGTTACCAACTCATTTATTTTCACAATCTGTAACCTTTCATTCATATGCAGCTTAGTGTAAGTTACGCATGTTTTGCACAGTGGACATGTTGTTGGGATGTTATTAGGGAACAGAGAGGCAGCCTCTTGAAATATGACTTTTCAAACCCCGCTTAGGATGCATGTGTGTTTTAATGTTGGCTTAGGGTGATTCATTATAAACCATATTTAAGTAAATGTAGTAATATATTTTAAGAGAAAATGTTGAATAGTTCAAAGAACACATATTCCTTTGGAGCTTCACATTATAAAGTTATTTTAGTCTTTTGGACAGGTCGTGGTAATACAATGCTAATGCAAAGTAGAGAATGGCTTCATATCTGAATTAATTAGTTTTATACTGCAGTGAAAGTAACAAGGCGCCTCTGAAAAAAGCTTAAAAAAATAATAGCAGGTATAAGATGTGTACTGTCACACTCCTAGGGTTATGTCACGTTTGTAATTTTGTATGTTTGGGTTTTGCTGTCATGTTTTCCTCCTGGGTTATTGTCTGGTCCTTTTCCTTGTGTTTTTCCTCCTGTCGTTAGTGTCCCCGGTGTGTCTAGTTGTTTGATTGTGTTCACCTGTGA